GGGGGGCTCCAACGCTGTAACTCAGCTCTCTTTACACATCCAGAGTGCATTCTGTTTATTAATTATTTATGACGGTTGGGCAAATCTTCAAAAGCCACAACCACACACAATATTCAAGTCCAGTAAACCGACTTGCGTGTAAGAAAGCGTCTTCTCTAGTTATCAAACTACGACTAATGAATGGATGCAAAGGGGACATGCAGAGGTCCTGATATTGATACTAGAGTCTATGTGTGCTTGCTTGGTGAGTGCGCAAAGATGTATACAAGTTGTTGCAGCTGTGAGGTTTATTACCACAACTTTCCTTCATCAGAGCCTATGAACCCCCAATAGCAGGGCAGAGCCACGGAAGATGAGTTCAGACTCTGGTTCTTCCGATTACCACGCAGTGAAGGATTCCTGATTTCTACGTTCTCACCTCATCGAACTCATCTCCGAAACCGATCGGTCTTGAAATGACATCTGAGATTTCTTGGGCCACTTCCTGTTGTTCTGTGATGTCGGCCATCAGGTCGTCTACTTTGTCGATGTCCCTGTGAGACAGGAGGACACAAGGAGAGAGAGAGAGAGAGAGAGAGAGAGAGAGAGAGAGAGAGAGAGAGGGCATGAAAATGTGTCCATAAACACAAACATGTCTCGATATAAACCAATGATGGACCATGTGGCATTTGGAGACTTTGGCCACACCTACCGAAGGTAAACAAGGAATGACAAAAACAGCCAAAAGTACGAAGAGTATTAAGAGTTATACCTCAGCCACGACTAAACAAATGGAACCTGCAACATGTTTCTAAACGTCTCTCTTACATGTTTTCGTGTGCGGCCTTCATCGCCTTGGCGGCGTAGCCCATGTTCTTGAGCACTTCTGTGTTGGTGTTGGCGTTCTCTAGCGCCTCCCTCTGGAACTCGATGGTGGACAGCGTCCCGTCGATCTGAGCCAGCTGCTTCTCGTAGCGCTTTTTCCTTTTCAAGGCCTGCAGAGCCGCTGGACAGGGAGACGAAAGAGCGAGATGAAGTTAGTGAAGGAGACAACTGCTGCTCCTTATTGGTCTCTCTGTCTTGTTTTTGTAAATCCCTGCTGATGTTGTCACCATAAAACGAACCAGTGGGTGTTACTTTTAAGACAGCCTTGTTTCTTTAAGATGTGGAGATTGTAGCTAACAGGGTGAGACAGAGAGAAACAAAAAGCTGTTACCAGTGGACCTTTGGTACAGTGTACTTTGTGTGAGTGCCTGCCTGTAGGAGCAAAGTGTTTGTCTCTAATGGGGCACGACTGGCAATCTGAGAAAATCCCGTCTGAGCCGAATCTCTGCATGCAGACGCAATGTGCTTCAGTCAGGCTTTTTTTTTAAAGGTTTGTACCCTCACAACAAAACCCATCAAGCACACAGACATCTGGTGTCACCAGGATACTAAATATATAATATAATAAGGGAAGATAACATTAGGAAAACCCGAGGCAACTGTTAGGTTGACTGGGAGCACTGGGGAGATCACCGCTCACTGGTTTTGATTGATGAAAAAGTGCTGTGACAATAAGTGAATTAATTGTCTATATGATATGTCAACTACTCTGACAATAGATTCATTTTTAAAAGTGAAAATGACAAACATTCAAAGGTCCAAGCTCCTCAAATGCAAGTGTTTTATTATTTGATGACATTAAACTGAATATATTTTGGTTTTACTGTCAGTTTAGGCTCTTTTCACAATAAATACACTAAAACAGTCAACTGGAATTTCTGCAATGTTAACTTAACTAACCAACTAACTACATAACTGATGCCAGCTAACATTCTGTCATTCACTAATATATTAATTCACAATTTTACATTTACTGTATATTCTACATTTAGTAGTTCAGTATCTTTCTGTGAACTTTGCCAGTTTGTTTTGCCAGGAACAATTATCTAAACCACAACAGGGAATTCCCCGGAGACGTAAAGCCGCTGAGTCATTATGTGAGGAGAGGGAGGAGGGTGAGGAGGGCGAGGAAGGAGCGGCTGGATTACAGCTTCATCACGATCAGAAGACGAGTAAGTAGTTACATAAGGTTTTCAAAATGATCAAAGATCTGATCTCCACTTGCTGTCGCCATCTTGAGCAGCAACAGGTAACTGAAATGATTCAGTTGGAGGCCTGTTAGTTGTGCATATTTCATGTTTTTATATTAATTTACTTATATACAAATATGCACAGCTATGAGCTTTGTTGCAGCCACAGCGATGCTTCCCCTTGTCAGGACCAGTGTCACACAGATGTAGAGTTTTAGGAACACGGGTAAGAGTATTTAGGCTCTGTTTTCTTTATAACTGGGTCATTCCTAATCCCTTAAACTGAAAAAGGCCACCAGGAGTCCTGTTTAACGTGGCTGTTTGTGAAAGGTGGTTTCTGTAAATTAGCAGTTATTTGACACAGAAATATCTCTGCAAACATTTAGTACATACTGTATATTCATAGTACCGGGAACATGAATCCTAATGACTTTCAATGAATTTATCATTTGTGGTCTTCAGTGAAATATCTCAACAATGGTACGTACATGTTCAGGTGATCCTTTGGCTTTCTCTTCTCATTTAAAAACTTAAATAGTTACTCGCAACTGGTCAAGAGCTTTTAAATCTTTTGAAACCGCAAAGACGAATATGGATCTGAACAGACATCTGTTCACGGCTGGTTTAAATACACAACCCCCCCCCCCCCCACACACACACACACACACACACACACACACACACAGCCAGACAGCAGCTGAAAGTTCCAGTTTCATCAGATTATATGAGCACCCGGCCCTATTCCTGGACCGATAACATCTTTATGCAACATTACACAAATCATTATTGGGTTATCTTGGTCGCAGAGCTTCCATTCAGACCGCCCCCTTCAATTTCAGGTCACTTTGGTTCTGTGACCTGTTGCTTTCTCTGCTGTCCTGCTGCTTTCTACACTCGACCACCTCGAGGCATTTTACAGCAGCGACTGTCTCTATGCGTAAAGTCCACTTTCTACTCAACTGAAATGGAAGATACGTCACTATATTAGCTGCTGTTACGTAACCATTTCTTCATTCTTCAGTTCTTTTCGTGATTGCTTTAACTCTCAGGAACAGCTCAAGTGGAAAATGTTCAATCAAACGGCCTCATTAAAACACCTGATGTCAAACACGGAGAAGGACGAGGTTAAACCAGAGAGAGACATCATGCAAAACGCTGATATCATGGCAGGTTTGGTATGTTTGCTTTGAGGAATTTATGAATTATGTGTATTGTCCTTCATCCCCTGACTACAGAGGCTACCTGGTAGGATGAATTATGTTGAAAGTCAGGATCAGAGCTGGAGGCTTGTGCATGATGTAATGAAGACCAGTTGTAACTGAGCTCACAGAGCTGAGTGATTGTGTCATGTCTTTTTCCTAGAGAGGATGTTGTGGTTGCATCACAGTTCTCCCAGCAGGCAATCTGGCTGTATATAAACAGGGTGTGTCACGTCATATCTTCTTGCCAAAAATATTGTGGTAAACGGTATTATCTCAAAGGTTTTCTCTCTTGAAGTACTTCAATGAGAGCTGATTAACGGTAGAACTACTTCACACCATGTTTGCCTTGGATTCTATCCAACCTAACAAATAGTGAACTGTATGATGCAATTTTCTACAAAAGTACGAACAAGAATATTAAAATACCACAAACTGAAGCCGGCCAGTTGCTAAAAGTCGAGCCAGTGTGTTTTTGTACACGTTTAACTTTCTTCCAGGTGTAAATGGATCAAATATTTCTTAAAGGGTAGAATGTGTGTAAATGCACACAGAACAACAAGCTCTGTGCTCCCAACCCGCTTTAAAAAGTACGGTAGTCAGAATATATACAGGAATTGTTTGCATAGTATAGAGCAGAACCAGTATACTAGTAGCACATCCCTCTATGCAAGTTATTAATAATCTGTAACAACCAGACAGGGAACTGACAACTACATGCTGAACGTGTATTGAGTAACATTTTCAATGAATGCAAATGCTCTGAGAGGGTTGACCGTTTCTGACTGCAGGTTACACTCAACTGTCTTGTGGACTCTCTGGAGTTAAAACAGAGGAAGCATCGCCTCACTCAAACTGAACAAACTGGCTAAGTCACTAGCCTGCAAGCATATTTAGCAGACACGCTGGTGTTCATGTTCACAGAAAGCTAAAGAGGCCAAGTCTGCATTTTGCTCCATACATATTATTTCCATGTGATCGCCACGCATCCATCCATCCTGCCTCAGCATGCGTAGGCTGGGTGTACATTACGTGCTGCTCCCCAGACCACCACGGGGTTAACGGGTGTTAGATCTGACAATTGATTCAATAAGAACCGGCTAAAAACTAACCAGGACCATATTCATTTGGTCATAATGGCCCCAGAATCAGCTAACGCGAAGATGCCAAAACCTAACCGAACTATCAACCGACTAAGAAAATCTGCTGAAAAATGTATTGTGGTCAGCGTGTTTCAGATCCTTTTATCACTCAAATCACAGCACATTCGAGTCATCCACTGCGTTGCACATTGCAACACGCTCAAGCACACCTTCCAAGTGGAATAACCACTAGCTCGTACCATATAGCATTGTGCTAATTATATTGTTTCCCTCTCAAGTGCCGAGGTCGAGGAGCCAGTTATTGCGATTATTGTAACTTTCCAGAGTTGGTAAGTCATTCCCCAGAAGAGCAACATTTTTGTGAAGTTGTGCGAGTGGTTCCTCTTCTAGATAAATAGTGCCGTGAATGAGCTCAGGCCTCGTCAATGCCTTCACAAACACAATAAAGAACTCGTTGATGCATTAACCTGATCGTAGTCTGTCGTTGAAACTGATCAGTCAGTAACTCGTAGGCAGTCCTGGCCTCTCCCCATGACCGAGTCTTTCCCTCGGTAGAAGATAAGCGATCTGTCCTGAGATGACGTCATTTTCACATTTTATAGGGTATTTAAATAAATAAATAATAGAAGGCAGTCATTGCATGCCCACCATCTTTGTTTGTCGAGTCACTACTGGGAAAAGGAGAACGAAACATTCTTTTATCCAGATGGTTAGAAGACCGTTACTGGATTCTGGAAATACGTACAACACAGCTTTAATACGGTCGACGGGGATTCTTCTTCTTTCACCAAAACGACTGAAAAACTAAACTGTTACTCGACTATATTAGTAATACATACATGAGATCCACAATCTACAGCTCAGCTAGTGTAGACAGAAGTAGCAGTAGTACAAATACAACATGAAGGAACAGAAACGACAACAATTGAGTATAAACATGTAATATTATTCACACGTTAAACATAATTTGATTCTTTTTTACCTGGAATGTTACGTAACCACAGTTTAAAACTTATGTTTAATATTGGCTGGTTGTCATTAAATCAGTGAACTTGAAACACGTTGGTGTTAGTTACACTTAACATGACAAAAGTTAAGTGAATGTGACAATAAAGCAAAGTTTGTAGGTGAACAACTCTTGTTTTTTAGCTGCTTTATTGTTTGAAATGTGAATGTCTGGTGGTTTTATTCTACAGCATTAGTACTAACTGTGTTGTACTTCGTGCAGCTTTCTTTAAATCACTTTTAAAGAGTAGAAGACTAATATAAAAGGTATAAAATGTAGTCAGGTGACCGGGTGGGCCGACTTGTGTTCAGATAAGCAGCCTGTCAACTTGCACTATTACCACCATTTGCACTAATATCCCAAATCCATTGTCCTTTATGTTCATATAGATATATATATTTATACTGTACATAGTAGTTAAATGTTTATGCTTAGTTTCTCTGTTCTACTTTGTTGTCTTTAATGTGTGTTTTTTATATTGTTCTTGTTTATTTGTATATTCTATGTATGTACACATACATGGCCAATAAAGCTGATTCTGGATGTGTCAACTGCCAACTTCCGGGTTCGGTCCCTGTCGTTAGCCCGCGTGGCTAACTAACTATAACTAATTAGCTGTTTGACTAAAAAACCGTCAAAAGCACAAACTTCTCGAGTCTTTCTTCCTCACCTCGTTTGTTTTTCGTGCCGTTCTTCTTCGCCGTCATGAGCTCCAGGTCGATTTTCTTTTCTAGGAAATCCTGTTTTTTGGCCAACATCTCCTCGGTCTCTCGGAGTTTCTGCACAGCCTCCTGGGGTGTCGGCGCTTTCCCTCCTTTACCCCCTCCACCGCCGAATAACTTACCGAACAGCGACATTTTAGTTACTAAATGTGAAACAACAACGGGTGTGTTTATCCGTACACTTTGTGACTCCGTACAGGTAACCGTTAAACTGTTAAACTGTCTCTCTCTTTCGTTAACTACCGTCGCCGAGCCGCAGGGCTGCCGCTGCTGTTGTTGTTTTTCTCTCTTCTTCCGGTCTTTCAGGGAAAAGGCCTCGTGATGTCATTACGTCAGCGCTGTTACGTGACTCACTCACGCGTGAGACACATCGTCACACATTCAGGGGGGATTTCACAGATGACCAGACGGTGTCTAAAAATACATTTTTCCATATCTTTAATATCTATTACATTTTGATTATTAGTATCAATCGTTTACATACAACATTGAATAATATTTATAATATATTTGTATTGATAAATATATAAATAATGGAACATATGCTATTATTATATGTTAGTATATGTTATTATATGTATACATCCCTATCCTTATTGACACTATAGTGCCAACACACTCACCATATAAAAGCACATGACTGTAGCAATGCAACACTCAATGGACTCTGTTCTCGTGACTCTTTGTGATGTTCCTTCATTGTTGTCATGGGTGTACAGGCTGTGGAGAAACAAATCCTCTCATGGAGGACAATAAATTATCTATCTATCTATCTATCTATCGATATATCTATCTATCTACCACCTAAAATGTATATTTACAATTTACATATTATTATTATTATAAGTGGTAGTACTAGTAGTATAGAACCTGTTTTCAGTGGTGGTAAGTAACTAAATACATAGGTACTGTACTTAAGTACAAATTGAAGATACTTGTACCATTTCCCATTTTATCCTACTTTATAGTCCTACTTCCACTCCACTTTTTTGATTAATTTAGTTACTTTGCAGAGCCCGAATAATCAAATTTCGACACAACAGAATATTACAAGATTACACTTTTCATTCACTGTTATTGTACAACAGGGTGGTGCAACCAAATCCAGTTTATTGTCCCCTTTTGTGACGTGTTTTAAATACTCTATTTAAAACAATTATTTGCAGCATGGTCCATTTTCTTAAGCACCAGGAAAAAAAATGTCTTTCTCACGCACATTTCCCGGCTGCATCTCAACAATCACAGTCAAATAAAGGCAAATACTGGTATTCTTCATTTCAAATGTCCAACTACTGGACACTAGATGTATCTTATATCTCTAAAAAAGGTTAATTCTCCATGTCTGTGATCTGCAGACTTCAACATTTTATGTCACAGTTGCATACTGGAACCCAGTTTGTTTCAAAAGTAGCTGTGATAAGATAAGTAGAGTCATTTTCTCAAAGACTTCTATACAATCAGACTTGTTTTTGCAGCCAGAGGAGTCGCCCCCTGATGGCCAGTAGAAGGACTGCAAGTTTAAAGCTTCAGTTTCAGGCCTCCTGTATAACAAAGAGCTGTTGTGGAAAGACATCAAATACCATTTCAAGACCATTCCTACAATGGAATGCTTTAAAAAATGTATATAATCTCATGATTGATTTAATTAATGTCTTTATTTAATGCTTCATCTTTGTAGCTCCATGAGTCAGTAATTTGCCAAGAAGAGACAGAATGGTGGCTTCCACTCAGTCGCAAGAGCCCAACGGCCAGTCCAGCTCCTTCAGAAAACTACGCCTCCCATGATTCACCATGGCATACTTTTCCAGCTGAAGATGCGAGTGTCCTACACGCCAACCAATCAGGGCCTGAGTTGTCTGGGGAACCGGAGGAGAGGGTCCAACCTGAAGAAAACAGAAAAACATGGGCGGTGACAGACAGACAGACAGACAGACAAACAGACTGATAGACAGACAGATAGATAGACAGACAGACAGATAGATAGGAAGCGTACATGGATGTTTTTTTCTGGAGGGGTCGGAGGTCGTGCTGCCAGGTGATGATGGGGATGTTTCACTCTGAGCGCCTCCTTCAGCTTCACACTCTCCATCTTGTACTGAAACACATACGACAGAAAGAGTTGTGTGGTTTTGTGATGAAACAATATCTCTTTTCTTTTCTTTCTAAAGGAAAATGACTTTGTTGCGTATTTCTGTGTATTTTGGTGTCTTATGCAGTTGCTGTGGTACTTTCTCATAAGTAGAGGGCAGTGTGTGACTGGTTTACCTCTGGGACTGTGTGTGTGTGTGGGTGCGTGTGTGTGTGTGTGTGTGTGTGTGTGTGTGTGTACCTCCTTGTAGGCCTCCATCAGGCAGCCCCACTTGTTGGACCAGACTTTGGCCGAATCCTTCTCAAGTTTTAAATGTGCTTTCCTACACACAGAAGACAGTTTAATTGTATAACGAGATTATTTTCCCAAAATTAAAAGACCCTTTTTACAATATAATAACTTTTATGTTGTAGTAAACATTTTATTATACTGCTGCATAACAAATAGTGAATGATTTTATCTTTAAAATTTCTTGTTACCACAAAAAAAATCAACATATCTAATTCAAACAAGTCATGCTTCTCATTATGATGACGCACCACATCTCATTAATACAAGGAACTTTTGTCGTTGATTAATAAGTATGGCAAGTCGTATTTATTATAGCACATTTCACATCAACACAATAAAGATAAAGATGAAAAGAAAAGGAACAAGAAGTGAGTGAAAACACTATAATAATGCTAACAGCAATAACAATAATAACAGTCATTCATAAAAAGCATACAGGAATTTTAAACAAAATAAAGGTTTTAAAAATCCAATCAACTTGATATGAATCCAAGTAACAATGATAACGACTATTCACTACCAGCAGGAAGACACATCCTACATTTTTAAACACAAACATTCATCTATGTGAACATCTTTGTGATAGCAGCACTGAAACAAGGAGCAGTTAGCAGGTTTACCAGATTTCATCCTGATGCACAACGTTGACGGATTCGGATGTTCGCTGTGAATTCGCCATCTGTCCTGACTGTGTGTGTGTGTGGAGTCGTTATCTCTGTCCGGCTAATGTTTCACCTGTGTGTAAGTCACACCGACGGACCTGTTTACCGTCGCCGGGGAGACGGAGTTCCCACCCTGACAGACATACATCACTTCTCTCTGCCCTGAGTGTGTAACTAACAGTGGAGAGGTCGTTGGGAGCTCAGACACGTTTGTGCTTTTCGGTCACGGTGGTTCAAGCTGAAATATCTCAACAACTCACAAAAAACTAAACTGAGGGCACATTTCACCCCCTTACTGGCTGCCCGTGAGCTACGGAATTGATTTTAATGTGCTTCAGATCATTTTCAAATCACTCCCATGTCACATATTACTGTTTTCTTTTGTATTTTTTTGATGACGAACAAAAAATTCTGGTTCGATCTGAATTTTTCTCTCCTGTGTTTGCAACTAACAGGTACAAAAAAAAAAGCAAAGGACCCATTGTTTTTTTTCATCTGTGACAATATAGTTAAGCAGATGAATTTTATGTTTAGTGTTTGTTGTTGTAATACTAATTTTGGCCACAAGAGGCTGAAGTGCCCCACTACCCGATCTAACGATCTGTCTTTCTGTGTGTTCTTCGTATATCTCTAGAAACGCTCATCTGATGTACTTCATACTTGGTGTGTGTGTTGCTGGGGATTCCCCAGAGTGCTTTTTAAAATCTGTTGCAATTTGGATATGTCCAATATTAACAAACAGTTAGGGGGTTTAGGGGGTCTGCAGACTTGATGTCGTCCACAGCTGGCCTTCACAGACCGACTGCAGTTCACTTCTGCTGAAGGAAGCTGGATATACTGACGTTACAACCAAACGTTTCTTCACTCCCCTGAAGCACATCGTCACACGCCATCATTAAAATAATTAGAAATGTTAGAATGAATAAACCGAGTTAATACTGAGAGCAGCACCGTTAATCAATATTTTGTAAATTACCAGTACCGGTTCTCACCACCTATCCCTATTCTTAAGTCATAAAATCAGGAGAGAAAACTATTTTAATGACTCTTAGAAGTCCGGGCGACTGTGGCTAAGTGCTAAGCAGGGCCGTCCTTTCAATCACAGGGTCGGTGGTTCAATCCCCAGCTCCGGCTCTGCTAGTCGCATGTCGATGTGTCCTTGAGCAAGACACTTAACCCCAAAATTGCTCCCGTAGTTGTGCCTACGGTGTAGAAATGTGATAGACTCTGAATTGTAAGTCGCTTTGGATAAAAGTGTCTGCTAAATGACTGTAATGTGAGTAAGGACCACCAGATTTTTTTTTCTCACTTGCCTCTCAAGGCTTCCGTAGAATGTGGACAAAGTCTTATTTAATTATTTCAAATGGGAGTAAAATGTGGTCCAGGTTGACAATATCCTCATGACAATGTCATTGACTTATAAAACATTATAATATTTCCTCCTGTACTTGATCAGTCCTGAGGACAGACACACTGCTCCCAACAGCAGAGCACAAACGCCACCAACCACGAAGCCCACATCGGACCGATTAATGGAAGAGTCTGCAACAAAATGATAAGAGAAGCATCTATCATATGTGCATTATACACAATTCCTGTTAATGCCGAAATAATGCAGCACTTCAGATAAAAAAAGGACATTGTATTGTTCCAGGAGAACCAATTAGCTTCCCTAAACAAAATTGTGGCCTCGTCCTCACCCCAGTTGTAAACCTTGGGCTCCTTTAAGCTGACGTGCTCCACCACACAGCTGACCCCAGTCTTCCCGCCGGGCGTGATCTCCAGGTAGGAGTGGACCTGATAGGTCATGTTTCCGTCCGTCATCACCTCGCTAAAGGACACGCCCGAGGTCACTTCCTGTCCGTCGCGGAGCCACGTCACCCTGATGTGTTTGGGGTAGAAGTCGTACGCGCTGCACACCAGCGTGGTGTCGTGCCTGGAGCTGGTGGTCTCCACAAGAGTGACGCTGGGTTCAGCTGAAATCAGAAGGTGAACAGTTTTAACTGAAAGATGATTACTAGCTGTGAGGCAGCAGCACCCGTGTAATGTTTGGAGAGTGTATATTTTGAATAAACACTCAATTACACAATTACAATGTTCTGTAATTGCAAGACATTTCTGCATTCAGGAGATCCCATTTGAATTGTGTATCATCTAGTATTTGAATATTCACCCATGTTTTCCTCAGTAACGTTCAATACCACTCCAACATTGTTGACACAGATCAGCTGCCGCTCCACTATCCTCTGCAGAACGTCGTCCTGGTTCTCATTAAAATTGGACGCAGTGATTAATCCGGCCGGAGTGAAGCCCGTCCAGTTCCCGACTGTGCTGTTGTACTGCATCATATACTCTTTGTTGAAATACCAGTCGATCAGATACTCCACCTGCTGCCCGCCTCTGGAGTGCACGCTGCACCAGAAGTCGGCATGCATGAAGTATCCATTTCCATCAGCGGCACAATCTGAACGGTAAAAGGAGAAGAACCACATTTTATCCTTTTTTAAAAACTAAATATGATTTATTTAAATGTGCAGAGACAGTAGGTTTCTCAGTATTTAATATGTGTTTATGCACAAATATTACTTAAAGTCACAGTATGTAGCATTTTGCGAGATCTGTTAGCAGAAATGGAATATAATATTCATGTCCATGTTTTCAGTCGTGTTTAATCCATAAACTAAGTATAACAACGTAACTTAAGTACAGAAAACACGGAACGCTAAGAAATATGATTCAGCTTTGCGACATGAAGACCGGTTTCCTTAGTGAAAGTCCTGTGTCCCACTATGAGTCACCCAGTCACTTGCTCTGAGTGTACAATGACAGAATGGCGCTGTTATTGTACTCTACGTGACTTATAAAATCATTCATACCCCATTTGGTGAGACTTTGCTGCAATAATCACCTGAAGTTAAGAAAAGTTGCGTTTTTGTTAGCTAAGAATGAGCCCTTCGTATTTACATAGGAGGCGGGTCTTCTCCACAGAGCGCCATCTTACACTGCCATGTTTTTCGAGTAGCAACGGACAAACAAAACACTGGCTCTATAGAAAACCGTCCTTTTTTTACGTTGCTTGAAAGCCAGCGTAGTTCTCCGACACGCTTGTGAAACTGCGGTAACGTGAGTTGCAAAGTGCAAAACCGTGGTTACCGCCAGCCGCCGTCTGACTTCCTAAAGTAGTGTTTTTATGGTCAGGATGGACCCTGAGTGAGGCGAACGGCGTTATCACGGTCTTGCAGTCGGTGGCTCACGTTACTGCAGTCTTGTAAAGGGAGTGATCGGAAGGGTTTTCGGTTAGTTGCAATCTGCAACCACACCGCTAGATGGTGCCAAATCCTAGAAACTGTTCCTTTAAGTTGTATAAAAATAATTTCCTTAATTCTTTTACACTAAAGCAAATCATTTTTAGCTTTTACACATTAGATTAGAAGATATTAGCAGATACAGCAACGTCGGTTTGTCCACTACTCTGATTTAGACTGAAATAGCTCAACTCTTGTAATGGACTGCAATGAAAATTGTTTTTTTTAGGATAACTCAAAGATATTTACTGAACATTCATGTAAGGTCAAGTTTCAATACTGTGACTCTGTGGCCAAAAATCCACTTATCATTTTACCATCAACTTCCTCTTTCAAATCACTGAAGCGTTCACAGAAACAAACAAGGAGAAATAAGATGCCCTAAATCTGAAGATCTACAGATGATCTACTGGAGAACAATGGTGGCAAGAATCAAAACAACACTATAACAATGCTGCGTTACAAGCAAAGGTCTGGCATTCTTTTTAATTCATTTTACTTGAGAAGAACAAAAGTATTGGCGGCAAAATGTACTAAAAGTATCAAATGTAGAAGTACTTAATAGGCCTGCCCTCATGTCTGCCCAACTGTGTCTTGTTCTCTGATTAGTTTCTCATGTATTTATAGCCGTGTCTTTTATCTCTGTTGGTTTCGGTTCATCTTTCTTTGCTCTGTTGCTTCTTGGAGCCCCTGTTAGCTTGTTGTTACTTGCCCGCCATCTGGACTCTCATTCTTTACGCCTGTTTTCTCTTAAAGTGTCTTTATTTCATCTCTTTATGCCTCCGAGTCTGCATTTTGCTTCCTTCCTTGACATAGCCGGGCCGGCTGCTTTAGTGGTCTGTTGGTTTGTGGACGTTGTGCATGTTGAGAGCCATTGAGAAATGAAATGATCGAAATGCTCCCAAACTCTGATCGTGCACCTTAAAAGTCTGACCTGCATTGAGTGTTTTTTTCACTTTCAGTTTCAACACAGCTTAGGCTTTTTAAGCAAGACAATTGTTCCTGTAGATCACTGTAAATGTTCATGTCAGTATTTTAACCCAGCTTGTTGTGTTGCTCAGAGATCTACAAATAGCATCAAGGGAAACAAAATAAATGGACCAAAGTGGAATTACTCACCCACCACAGACCGGGAGAAAAGACACAGAAACAGCAGGTACCTGCAGGATTTCATGTCGAAGCCAAAGTTAGACCACATTGTTGTAGCTTCTCAGCCGCTGCTGAGCATTTCCCAAATGATTCTTCCTTTTCGACTCCAGTTACTGAAACCTTTAAACTTGGTTTATAAACCTATAAATATCTGTTTTAATCTAACTTTTTCACCCAATCATTACATTTATAAACAACCAATTCTCAACAGCAAGTGCATTTTAAAGGGACATTACACCAATAAAAACATTACTTTACGAAACATTTTTCATGAATGCGTTTAAAAAATGTAAAGCGACTAAAGCATTTTTATTATGTTGAGGATGAGATGTGCATATTTATGGAATCTGTTGTTGAGTTCAGTTTATCATGAATCACAACTTTCATGAACGAGTTCAAAAAGTTTGGATCCTGAAAGTGATGTCAGACTTCACACAGGAAGCTGAAACCAAACACCAACGAGAGAGAACGAAAGTAAGAGCTCATTCCTCTTTTCCTTTAACAAAACCCTCCCGGATCCCCTCCAACTGTGCTTTCTTTCTTTTTTTAATGTCACAGTTTGTTTTTCAGTATTCTTTCTCTCTTAAGTGGAGATCAATGTTAACTCAGAGAAAAGGCAAAGTCAATGTTAAGGGAAGACACAACAGGCAAAAAACATAGTTTTACATGCACTGGTCAGTTTTGAGATTTTGAGAAATACAGGTGTTTATTGTACTTCTTTGTCTGTTTGCATGTGTAGATTTCTCCTAAATTCCCCAAAAGTTACCATCAGATAATGCCTCATTTGCATATTTAAACATGCAATTTTAGAAAATTTGCAATATAAAAAAACAATAATCTTAATTTAAGTAATCGACATGGGAAGTTTCATGGTGATATCTGTTAGTTCATTTTTTTAACCTCTTCACCAGTAGTGTCTTGAAAATGTCTGCGATTTTACAAAATCTTTAAAGGCCGTTTTCTTAAAATGAGTTCCACTAGCAAAGAAGTGGATTTTCAGGGGAATACTTTGGGGATTATCTCTATACCAAGAATGCGTGATGAGGTAGAAATGTTTAATGATTTCTTTAAAGGAGCAATACACAATATTCAGATCAACCTTCTGTGTTTGCCATTCTCTACTCCAGTCATTCCCAAAGAATGGAGATTTTATTTGGGTCACCGAACAATTCTGCAGAATTTCTTCCATTGACTTTTATTGAACATTTATATCTGCAGTATAGCTTTTAGCCACATGTGGGCGCCTAAATATTTGAGTTTTTCTGATGATTGAAGCCCACGTATCACATCTAATATGAAAGATGAGGCAAGGGAAGTGTATTTGTATAGCACATTTCAACAACAAGGCAATTCAAAGTGCTTCACATAAAACCATTAAAAGCATCAAAACATAAGGCAAAAGTAAAGGAGATTTAAAAACAATTAACATTCATTGAAACTTTAAAAACAGTCATTGAAACACTAAAAAGCAGTGTAAGAAATAAAATACAGGAATAAAATGCAGAAATGCATGAAGATGAGCATACATTCAGTTTATTTCACTGACGAGAGGGAAAAAAAGCTTTTTATATCTGGCTAAATGTATTTATTTTCATTAACACATGCAAAAAAATGAAGTTGTGATTTATCAAACGTATATCTCCCTCATAAAGTGATGTAAACGGTAGTAAAAATGGTCAGGAACGTCAATTTACACAGACATTTATTGGATAATTAGCTGCTAGTAGACTGCTGAGCCACTGATTGGTACCATGGAAGTATATAGCTCTCAGTTCAGAGAGAGCCGGGGGATTTGATGTCTTTATGAAAGAAAGTCTGTCTTCTCTCTGCACTGGATTGCATTTTATTAAAGAGACACAAGGTGGCGCTCTAATCAAAGACGTCAGTTCTCGTTGTTCCACATCAGGGCTCCTTACTTACTGCTCCGTTCTGTCTTTATGAAGGGTTTTCAGTATTTCTACTAAACATAATTGTGACCTCATCAAACAATTATTTTTATTTACAAAAACTGCAACAATAACCTCCAGTGTTAGTTGTGATAGCAGCTTCTCCCTCACACACATCACTACATCTATAGTCCATGCCCAGCTCTTCTTAACCTGTTAACCACAAAAGACATGACAGAGAAAAGTTGTATTTGATTTTAAATTTTCCGTCCATCCAAAACCTTTTTCCATAACTCATTTCATCTTTTTCATAATCATTATTTCTATACCTTCATGCCAAACAGGTAACGGCTGCGTTCCTGTAAAATGTAAAATAATATACATCCACAAAACAACACCGGACACAACAGATCTTCCTTTAAAAGTCAATCAAATAGTCATATTATTAATTTATTATGATTATTTTAGAAACTTAATCAGTGTGGCCTGATCAAAGTCACGTTTTCTCAAATCACTCGAATTATTCAATTTTCATAATCCTCCCAGGATCTCATACCGACTGTGGGAACTCTCATTTTCCCACTTTTGATATCTTTGCAGACGTCCAGATGGTCAGGAGTTACCACAGGTTGCACCCTGTGTAGCATTATCAAAAGGACCCTGCATTGTTTATCAGGCACGAGGTTCCACGTCAGTGCACTTTGACCTCTTCTACTACAGCGGCTGTTTGAATCACGCGTTGCACCGTTCGGACTGACGCTGGATTACAGTCTGTTTTCTACCTGCTGCTGTCGTCACTCCAGAGACGCTCTGACGAAGAGCATCAGAGTCCATGAACCAGACTGAACCAGAACAGCAGAGCAAACACTCTGCATCTCCTTCTCTCAGAACTTTAAAAGTTGCAATTTTTAGATAATTCTTCCGTCTTTTGTGCTCGATTCTTTGTGTTGAGAGCGGATTTTAATATTGTTGAGTCACACTGCAGAGAGAGAAACACAGATTTGGGGGCAAAAATTCACAAAGAATGGATTACGGCCGCTGATAGCACAAGATTCCCAAAAAGATATTGCACTAATGATATTACAGCACAAACACATCATGACGTTTCGCAGCTGAGTGCGTTTTGCCCTTTTTAATTGAATATATCTATGTGGTAAAGTGTAAATGCGCTTGAGGCCAATGCTCAGTCACACAATGAGCCGATTCAGGTCTTTTTAATATGGATTGTGTTATCAGTTTGTCCGCCCGGTCCATTCAGGTCACACCTGACGTTTTTTAAACTGTAAAGATTTGTTCAAGGATTTAAATATGAAGGTGTCATCTTTCTATCATTGCTTTAAAGTCGGGTGTTGTCTTTTTGTCCTGCTGCAGTACATGCAGCAATCTGTGTTTTTCAGTTTATTACATGTCTGTGCTTCATACACCCATTTAGTGTTATCTCTCTTTACAGATACAACTGGTCAAACTCTTCCTTCCTCTGACCATAAACCAGTGTTATAAGATTATCTCTGGATATGATATAGATTGGATACTGTATATACTCACCTTATTAGTCCATACAGTTTATCTAAATCTTTAAATGTCTATCAGAAGTTGTCTTAAATTGAAATACTGTCATATTGGCTGAAAATCAATTCATTTTCAACTATGATTTTTGTTTTTTTATTAGTAGCCTAACATTGAAACTAAGTTAAGTTAAGTTTTAGACATTTTAAACAACGGGTATTTGTAGCATCTCAAATTGCACCAATTACAAACCAAACTCTGCTCTGTACTGAAACTGGAATTATCGTTCAATGAATATGTTTTTTTTTAATATGCTGTATATTATTTGGAGTTTATTGTGGTCCTTAGAATCTATATGAAGGTGTTACATGTGATGTTACAATCGTCCTTGCCAACACATTCTCACTCTAAACTCTTGATATAAGGACGGTTGATTAGTGGCACTAAACTTCAAACTATGACACTTCTCCTCTAGTGTCAGTTTTGGACGTGGCTGGAGTGGCGTGTCACTTTGTTACATTGCACAATGTCTTTTGAAAATATACTTCCAACGTAGGTCTGCTTAGTTTTTGCTTAGCAACAAAAGTTCTTAGTTATAAATGATCACGGTTGGGTATAAAATAAGCATGTTTGTTGCGTAAAGTAACAACACTTATTACATAACTGGCATTAGTAAAGTACGTCACAAAACTATGGTAAAATAAGTCAACGTTGACTTTGTAATTGGAACATGAACAGTGGTCTCCTGCGTGAAAGTCTTGTGTGTTTGTTTGATCCATTTATCGTCTCCTTCCACCCAGCGTGAACAGACGTCCATCGCTTTTTATACTGCGTGCGTTGCTCTGGCCGTCGAATAATTGGAATTAGTTAAAAAGCCCTTTGCGTCCCCATACGGACGATAAAGGGTGCATCGATGCGTTGATATCAGACGACAAGCGGTGCTGACCGAGCATCAGTGTTTGAGGAGATGGGAGTGAGAATGAGTCGCTCCTGCAGTCGTGTGTCATGGGGGCCAGATTTAACTGTTGACTTCTAGTGTTTCAATCAATATCGTGACCCTGACATTCATCGTAAAGACGTTTAATGATTGTTAACAAGTTCAACACAGATATAAGTGACCTACATACCAACTGTAATCAAATAGTTCAAGCTGATGCTGATGGGAATGACCAATGTTTGGGTCATGAAACACATCTGCTAGATGTAAGTTTAAAGATGTCACCAACCCGATAACAATTCGTCCTGAGTGGGACATGACTGTCTGAATAAAATAACCTGGCAATCCATCAAACAGGTGTGTTGAGCTCCTTCACTAAAAACCAGAAAAGTCCCCCTCATGGTGATGCAGAAGGAAGAGAATCAGCAAAGTCATCGGGATACAACTTCTGAGCACCATGAATGTTTGTCTTGCCAAATATCCCGACAGTCCATCCAATAGTACAGATATTAGATATCTTAGTCTGGACCAAAGTGGTGGACCGACTGCCATCGATAGAGTGGCTAGTGAGGCTAACAATAATGTACTTCACTAACCATCCTTGGCTTTTTATCTAAACTATAACTGAATAAAGTATATGGCTTCACCGAAGCTACAGCATTGTTTGCACTGGTTACTTTTTTGAATGTGCATGCTAGTTGGTTACCTGGCTGACTGAAGCAGAGCAGACACCAGTCAACTTTTCAACCACAGTTTGAGAGGATGTTCTGCTAATACGCTGCACAGCTCCCGTTAGACCGAACAAACCAAACCTCTTCAAAACAAGGACAGCGCCTTGATAGCCGTCCGTCATCTCTGACTGCTGATAAACAAGTTCAGGTTTCCCAAGAGGAGAGACATGTTTTGTTCACAGAAACAGGCATTAGAACGACTGACATCTTGTAGTTTTGACGGTTGATACACATGATACATCTAACAGTCTTTCTTTTCTTTTTCTACGATGCAAATGTCTGAATTTATCGATGTGTCAGATCGCTTCACCGGCTGCAAACCGACGACACAGCCAAAGCCTGGAGATTGCTCGTCTCCCTGAGGCAGTTTAACACAGAACCCTGACTTATGTTTGACACCATCATGCTGTGCAAGTTTCCAACAAATAAGCTCACGTTACGCAAAAACAGCGAGGACGTATCAGCAGGGATGTCATAAGCGTTAAGGGACATTTTGTCCTACGACCTCAGCTCTCATGAGGTCATGTTGAGTCTGACAGAATTATTTGTGTGTTTCTGAATATGTAACAAGAAAAATGCACGGCGGCGTTTTTTCACCGAATTGTAACTTTTCAGTTTGTTGCAGTGATATTCAGAAATAAAGGAACCGGTGATCAAAAAGACTGAATATGAAATATGAAGCTAGAACTTTAGAGTGCCAGTTGAGGAAAATCAAGTTTAAATTAAGTGTGTGAAAATGAGGGGTGTCACCTCTTTATCTAAAACGTATCGGCTGCACTGTTCAGACGGTAACACACACACACACACACACACACACACACATAGAAAAAAAGTTCCTCTCTGCAGAAGTCTGATTTAAAATATGTGCAGCCTACGGCTATAACTCGTCTATGGGGGGGGGGGCGTTCACAGAGTTTTCACAACATAACCGAGAACAGCTTGTTCAAAACACTTTTAAACCACCATGTGAACGTTGTTGTGACCCTGAACTTAACTTTGTCCTTTTCAAATGGTATTTTGTGTGTTTTGGGGAGCTCTGACAGACAGCATAGGAGATCATTGGAAAATAGGAAAATGATGTACTAATTTTCCTGGACAACACAGACATTTTCACTTGTCTTTTTCTCTCAACTACACTAGATTTATATGGAAATCAAGCTTTTTAATACCCAAATTCTGTGAAGAAAACCTACTTCATGTTATCATTCAATCCAAACCATTCATCCTTTTATTACCTGTTTACTATATAGGAAATTCAACTTTTTCTAATTATTCTTATTCTTATTATAATATATTTCAATTGTGAAAAACAATTGTGAAAACAAATATATGAGCATGAAATTGAAATGTAATATTGCACGATGTTGAAAAAGGTAATATTGCACATGATGTGGTTATTATTGATGTAAGAGTTCGATTAAAAGAATTTGAGTTTGTCGGCCGGGTTAAAGATCTGTGCTTTACGACTGCTGACTGTTGCACAACCGAGCGAACAGTGTTCATAAAACACCTGAGCGGAAGACTTTATGTAACTTTTAAATGTCGTTATCATGCAGGCTGCTCTCCTGTCTGTTCCCCTTGTTGTGCAGCTTTGAATCAGACCGCCCAGTAAAAAGTATGAGAAGCTGCTGCATCAGTGCGTGAGCTCGAGTCCGGGCACAATATAATAATATAAATAAAAAGTCCCCAGAAAGTTGCCATATAAGCACTAATATTGTTTTCAGGGATAACAGGATTAAGTAGATTAAACCTAAGGAGAGTAATTACTACTAATACTACTTGTACAACTGCTACTATCAGGACACTATAAAGGATTAAAACTTCTACTACTAACAGTACAAAACAGTAAAAAGATTGCTACAATTCTCCATCTGCTGCTGCTGCATCTACTTTTTACTGCTGCTATTAAAAGTTTTTTTTTTCAATAATGTCATGCATACAACTACATACAAAACATCATAAATTATATAAACCACACACATAAGTCTGCAAATATTCTGAAGAACGTGATTCAATTTCTACTTGGTTATATTTTGCAGGTTGAGCAGAAGCCTCTTTACGTACTATCTTGACGCAGAAGGTTTGCGAGTTGTTTACTTTGTGATCTTTAAGCATCATGGTGAAAATATATCATGATGGTTTGGCTTAAAGTAAGTATGCTTGTTTCGTAACTTAAGCTACAGATGTAACATCCATGTGACTCAGTGACGCAGCGTCACATGACATAACGTCGTCAGTAAAAATAACTTTTGCTATGAACATCTAACGATGCCGAGACATCGGCGCGCTGCTCATTGACACCGAGCCTGATTAGGAACTTGAGATGTGAGACTTGAGTTGGAGTTGAGAGACGACGTTCTAATTGTAAAACAATATAAAGATAAATAATCGTCAGACGATAGCCAGTGGGTTCCGAGATTACATTTCAGTCAATGCGTTCTCCCCTTTGTTAATCTCCACACGGACTGTTTACCTGCATTTAACCAAAGCTCAAATGTAATTGGTTAATACTACCAGAATGCTCCGGATACCAAAATCTTTGTTCAGTCAGTTCATTGATAGGTTGCCATGTTGTTATTATTATTATTATTATATATATTTTCAACGACATCCACTTAAACACAGAGAATGGCAGAATTTCAGTCTTAGTATTACTGGATCTCAGTGCTGCATTCGACACAGTCGACCATGACATACTACTAGAAAGACTATACATCTGGGTGGGACTTTCTGGCACAGCACTTAACTGGTTTGAATCCTACTTGAAGGACCGAGAATACTTTGTGTCTGTAGCCAATTACACATCAGAGCTGACTAAAATGACATGTGGTGTTCCCCAAGGTTCAATACTGGGGCCTCTTCTGTTCAACATCTACATGCTTCCACTAGCTCAGATTGTGGAAAAGAACAAAGTGTGTTATCATAATTATGCAGACGACACACAAATCTACATAACTATGTCACCAGGGGACTATAATCCCCGAGGGAATCGGAATAAATATGTCATTCATCAGTTTGGTTTCTTTTCAAAGATTTTGAGACAAAATATTTTGGAACTGAAACAAATCAAAATACCAGAATAGTTTTTTTGGGTGGAGGTTTTGTTGAGTCATTTCCTGGGGAAAATGTCCACTCTTTAACCATCGTAGTGTGTGCTCAAAAGAAAATGAGACTCGCTTTCCACTCCTCATGGAAATACAGTCGGACAGTTCAAACAATCTGTTTCATAGCCAGAGGAAGAATAGCGGTTCTCAACTGTGCGACCAAAGATTTTTGGCTCCTGTATGAACGAGATGCATCATGACTCAGGGCCATAATTTCATTTAGTATCCAAATATATTACTAATTTTCATAATTTTATTACAATTTTACTTCAGACTAAAATATGAGCTTACTTTTAAGTCAGTTTTAATACAACTAAAATATTTTCCCAAGATATAATACAGCATATCAGCATCTTTAAAGAGAATTGTGTCATAATCTGACAGTTTCACAGTCCGATTATTAGAACAAGTACTACTACAAACACTGCTGCTAACACTGCTATACTTTTAAAACTAATTACATTTTATAATCTATTAATAACTCTAACTTAACTCCAAATCAACAGCAACTCTCAGTCTTTTACCTTTAAAGGCTAAATTTGTCTTTGTTCATTGAGTCATTTTAACTGCTACACACACACACACACCCACACACACATTCATTACCCCGGCTGACCTTTGACCACACAGGTCGAGCCCCCGCCCGTCAGCCAATAGAAATGAAGCAAGTCAACACGCTGCCCACGTCACACTCTGGCCTGACGAAATCGAACCCTGAACTTACATCACTTTGTAATGTAGGTTAGAGTTCAGCAGCAGCTGCTTCAAAGAGGACAGGAGGTTTCCACACCGAGACACATGGAAATAATGAATATGACACAATAGTTTGTCAGATTGAGATGCGGTGTCAATAAATTCAGCTGATTCAGCGGAAAAAAACATGCTTTTTTCAAGCACTTTTCTTTTACTTCTGAGAATATAATGATGATAATAATAACTTTATTTATGTAGCATCTCTAAAGACAGAGTTTACAAAGTTATTTGACAGACAAAGCAACAACACAGGGGAAAACTTTAAGACTTTATCCAGGTTGCATAGGAATTTGAAACTTAAGAAAAAGGAAGCATGTTTTGAGAGTAAACAAACAACAAACTATACAAACATCCAGACATGATCAACCCCCCGGCGTTTCCCTTTCAGAGAGAGAGAGAGAGAGAGAGAGAGAAATAGCGTCATGGAATGCCAAGACAAAGCCCTCTGGATCTGAGTCCAGCTATCAGTGCCGAGCCAGGGCCAGAGGGAACCGGTTTATGTGAAGACGACTTTATGTCCCAACTGCTGATTAATGATTGGCTGGCAGACTGTAACACAGTGTTTTTTCTTTTCAGATCTGGTGGGAACAACAGGCTCATGCATACGGCACAGAGGACGAGCCTCCCTCCTCCTCCCGCCTCCTCTTGTGGGACATCCCAGAGTATAAAAAGAACAAACTCTCTCCACAGCAGATACAATCGACCAAGAAGGAGAACCAATCCTCTCCTGAAAACAACCGTCAGAGACAACCTCAGCTGATGAGGCCAAGCTAAAGGCTCCCTGCTCCAAACAAACTACTGAAGGTAACCTGAAGCTCTTTCTTTTCAGTGTAACGTGAGGAGGGGATGTGCTGAGTGACGGGGGATCTGCACAGGGATGCTGTTGCAGTCTGAGCTGGAGGTTGCAGCACTTCTTTGAAATTTGATGTAGTGTTTTATATGCAGAAAGATGATGTTAACTAAAGGACAATTTTAAAATTCAGGTGCTGAACTTTCTTCTACTTGTTCTCTTTTTTACCCCTCCATCCCTCATCTCTTTTCTTTTCCTCGTCACCCTCTTGCTAACTCTTCTCCTCACCCTTATTATGTTCTCGTGTCCACTCTCCTCACTCTCTCTTGTTTCACATTTTTACCTATCTTCCTCTCTCCTTTCTTTCCTACCCTCACCCAAGCTCGTCCACTCCTAGACTTCCTCTTGTCTTTCCTTCCTCTGCCTATACCAGCTCACTCTCTCCAGACTCCTCCGCCATGCCTCCTCAGCTTCCGTCCCAGAACCAGAAAGGTCCCAGGATCCTGCAGGGCGACCCCGGCACCCTCAGCCCGGCCGTCAAGGAGTTTGTGGACGCCAACGTGAGCCTCTGCGAGCCCGAATACCTCCACATCTGTGACGGCTCCGACGAGGAGAACACGGCCATCCTGACCGAGCTGGAGGAGCAGGGGATGATCAAGAAGCTCAACAAATATGAGAACTGGTAGGTCGGCTGGCATTTGATTTTAATATTTTAGGTGTTGTCTTCAGTGGAAACCCAACTGGCACGCTGCCATGTCAGTGCATAAGAAAGACGTCAGCAGCTGTTGAAATGAACAACATCAGTGTTAAAGGTCAACATTCTGATAAACCAGTAAATCCACCAGTAAATTCAGTCACATCATTACCAGCAAACGTCAAACAAACACGCACATTATTGCTTCAGATGTAAGATTGACATTTTGATTTACGTTCATCCTGCAGTAAAACATGTCAAACGTGTCCCTCTGCTTTGCAAAATAAAAGTAACTCTAAAATATAATCAAATGTCCCTTCCCTCACCTCCTCTTCCTGTTTAACTTCTCACCTACCTTCCTTCTCCTGCAGCTGGTTGGCCCGGACCGACCCGAGGGACGTGGCTCGTGTGGAGAGTAAGACCGTGATCGTGACCCCGGACCAGAGGGACACGGTGCCCACGCCGCTGGAGGGCGGAGTCAGCCAGCTGGGCCGCTGGATGTCCCCGGAAGAGTTCGACAAAGCGATGACTCAGCGGTTCCCCGGCTGCATGAAAGGTACCACGGAGAACAATGTTGGACTCAATTTAGCCCCCAATTTCATCTCCTTTAGCTCAAGTGGCTTATAATAACACTACTACACATTACTACAAATACCTGGCAAGTTTTAATAAAATAATCACACAGCAACAAAACAAAAAGAAGCAATTATTCATTGATAAAGTCTTCCGGCAAGCAATGTAGTTCTTCAGCGACATTTAGCACAAGCAACGCTCATTGTAGAGCACGCTTAAAGATCGGGGTGATTATTACCATTTATCTGGATATCGCTATTAATTGTGCTCTTGTTGAAGTAGTGTTCGAACATGTTAGCGCTCTACTTTGCTGGTGAAGGTGTGTTTGACTCTGGTCAGCGGCGTTTAAATCTCTAGTATAACTTAAGAAAAAGAAAGTTCTCATCATGTCATGCAGTTATAACCACATATGTATCTACCATCGGCAACTATAATGCTCACTTTTCCCTCGATTGAGACCTTAAACTCATGTTTACAATGTTTACTGAGGTAATAAATCAAGAGAGAAGTAGAGTCAGTTTCTCATAGACTTCTATACAATCAGACTTCTTTTAGAAACCGGAGGAGTCGCCCCCTTTTGGACATTAGACACATTGCAGGTTAAAGGCACTTCAGCATTGGCTTCACTTTTCAGACCTGCAGTTTGCCCACTGGTAATACCATCCTTATGTTAATACATTAAACTTTGATGATCTCTCTGTCTCCTCAGGTCGCACCATGTATGTGATTCCCTACAGCATGGGTCCAGTAGGTTCCCCGCTCTCTAAAATTGGAGTGGAGCTGACGGACTCTCCCTACGTGGTGGCCAGTATGAGGGTGATGACCCGTATGGGGAAGGCCGTGCTGTCCGCTCTGGGGACGGGCGAGTTCGTCCGCTGCCTGCACTCCGTCGGCTGCCCGCTGCCGCTTAAAAGTACGTGAACAACATCAACTGTAACTGATATTGCTGCATACGAATGAAAAGGACTAGTACTTCTCTTGCACTTCTAGTACTACAACTACTACAACACTATTACTGCTGATACCTCATTAAGTCGTTTCGTGCCCTTAATGATACTGCTGCCACTGATACTACTTTTAATATATTTGCTAATGGTAAAAACATAGCAGTACTACTGCCACCCGTTGTACTACTTGTACTGATTACGATGCTGTCATTACTGCTGCCACTACCTTTACTAATGCTACAATATCTGCTATTGCTACTATTACTACGACCAATGCTATTGTTGCTACTTTAGATATTACAAGCTATACAACTACTACTACTGATTACTAGTTATAATTATGTAAAACCTTCCTCCGTCCTCCAAACTTTCCACTGATTTAGATAAACTGATTTGTCTTCCAGAGCCCTTGGTGAACAACTGGCCCTGTAACCCCGAGCAGACGTTAGTCGCCCACATCCCAGATCGCAGGCAGATCGTCTCATTCGGTAGCGGCTACGGAGGAAACTCCCTGCTGGGGAAGAAGTGCTTCGCTTTGCGCATTGCCTCGCGTATCGCCAAGGAGGAGGGCTGGCTGGCAGAGCATATGCTGGTAAGGAAGGAAAAATATCATGCATTTAACATATATAACATATGGTAACCTATCATAGGGACTTCCCACAAGAATCTGACCAAACCGGATGTCTCTCCTGCTCAGATCTTGGGCGTCACCAACCCTGCCGGGGAGAAGAAGTACATGGCGGCTGCCTTCCCCAGCGCCTGCGGGAAGACAAACCTGGCCATGCTCTGCCCCACACTGCCCGGCTGGAAGGTCGAGTGTGTGGGAGACGACATCGCCTGGATGAAGTTTGACGACCAAGGTGAGGGACTCAAGACTTTTGGGATCAGGGACATTAAAATGTCTATGAGATTATAGTAATAACAAAAACTCTTCCAATATTCATCATGCATATTTTTTTTCTTGCCAGGCAACCTTCGTGCAATCAACCCTGAGAATGGCTTTTTCGGAGTCGCGCCTGGCACCTCTGCCAAAACTAACCCCAACGCCATGGAGACCATTGTCAAGAACACCATCTTCACCAATGTTGCAGAGACCAGCGACGGCGGTGTGTACTGGGAGGGCATGGACCAGGCACTGCCCGAGGGAGTCACCATCACTTCCTGGAAGAACAAGCCCTGGAGCAAAGAGGGTGGTAAGAGCTTGTATGTTGGTTCAAACATCTAATGAAAGCGATGATAGAGATTATGAGATGTTCTCAAGTTAGTGCTGATTATATACACATGTGCCACTCTGTAGAAGTGTCGTCCTTGTCCAGCAAAAGTCCAAGACTTAATCAATTCATCATTTTGAGGAAGTAGGTTTTCAGTCTGCGTTTTTCAAATCGTTTAATTTTCCAAAAACAAAACTCAACACTCAAATTGTCAACCCCGTTGAGAACGGTTTTCTGTCTTTGTCAATGGACACAGGAATGGAGTACTTTCAACTTTATTAAAGTTAAAAACCAAATCTTGTGAAATAAAGTTTCCTGTCTCTCTCTCTCTCTCTCTCTCTCTCTCTCTCTCTCTCTCTCTCTCTCTCTCTCTCCAGGCGAACCCTGCGCTCACCCTAACTCTCGTTTCTGCACTCCGGCTGAGCAGTGTCCCATCATCGACCCACTGTGGGAATCCCCAGAGGGAGTCCCCATTGAGGCCATCATCTTTGGAGGGCGCAGGCCGGAAGGTGAGCAGGAACTTGAGAGGAGAGGATAGAGATACAGTGGGATCAAATAAGTAAAAGTAGAGAAGGGAAGAAGATGCAATGACATGTGGGAAAATGACGGGATGATACGAATCAAACTTATGACTCTGCTTCCTTCAGGCGTCCCTTTGGTGTACGAGGCTTTCAGCTGGCAGCACGGAGTGTTCATTGGAGCAGCAATGAGGTCAGAGGCCACCGCTGCTGCTGAACACAAAGGTCAGTGTCTAATCTTTCCAGTGACGTTTTTAATCTGACCCACCATTCAATGGATTTTAAAGAGAGAAGAGAGAAAGGACAGCTTGCTCAGACATTGATTATCCTTCAAACAACACTAAGAGAGATACTTACCCACTCTCCCCTCTTTGTGCCCTTTCTTTTCTGCAGGCAAGATGATCATGCACGACCCCTTCGCCATGCGCCCCTTCTTCGGCTACAACTTCGGCCAGTACCTCTCTCACTGGCTGAGCATGGCCGACTGCCCCGGCGCCAAGCTCCCCAAGATCTTTCACGTCAACTGGTTCCGCAAGAGCCCGACCGCCGGATTCCTCTGGCCCGGCTTCGGCGACAACATCCGCGTGCTGGACTGGATGTTCCGGCGGGTGACGGGCGAGGCCGTCGCCGTGCCCTCTGCCGTGGGCTACCTGCCCTGTCACGACTCCCTGAACCTCCAGGGCCTGCAGGAGGACGTGGACCTCAACGAGCTGTTCTCCCTGGATCAGGAGTTCTGGCAGAGGGAGGTGGAGGATGTGAGGAAGTACTTCACCACGCAGGTGAACGACGATCTGCCCAAAGAGGTGGCCCAGGAGCTGGAGTTCCTGCAGCAGAGAGTGAAGAAGATGTAAAGGGGGCTGGAAAAAAAAAAACATGTTGGCAAATCTGAATTAGCTTGTTGGTGATTCCAGTACAGCTTGTCTGTGATTCAAAAATGTATTTTCAGCTAGATCGAAATATTTATACTTCTAGAACAGAATGTGAGTAATTCTAAAATATTCATATTCATTGTCATGCAGATAACAACTTCATGAAAGAGGAACAATTCTCCTCTGATCATTTTTTTAAACTTGTTTTTAGAAATCCCCCTGTTTTTGTCAGATTATTAATCTGAAAACCCTTCTGTTAAAATTGGGCTGGGGATGTTCAGATGAATTATGAACATGTAGAAAGTGTAGATTTAACAAACATTCCTCGCTGTGCTCATCGTAAAAAATGAACATGAGCCACATATCAAGTCAAGACTGCTGCTCCATTCACATGCTGTCGTATCAGTGTTATGTTTTTAACTGTTGCTCCAATGTATTGTCCTACTGAACGTCTGAATTCTACGAATTTATTATGAGCGCACATCACACTGTCACTGCCGTACGGACTTGTATGACACAGAAAGACTAAATGAGTCCAGGTTAGGTCCAGTGTTGTCTGAGCCCCCTGAACACGGGGGAAATGTTTCTGTTCCTGTCTTTACTGTATGTCTTAATTTATTTTTATACGCTGTCCGTATCTCTTGGTTCTGTTTTGATGGGAGAGAACAATAAATGTATTTTCATGGATCTGGTCTTGTTGTTTTATTGGTGTGGGACCAGGCGGCAACCTCTGGTTCTAAATAGGGAAGCCAAAGCTGAAGTGCCTTAAACCTGCATTCTCTCTACTGACCAGCAGGGGGCGACTCCCTCTGGTTGTATAGAAGTCTATGAGAAAATGACTCTACTTCTCTCTTGATTTATTACCTCAGTAAACATTGTAAACATGAGTTTATGGTCTCAATCTCTAGTTTCAAGTCTTCTTCAATACAGCATGATGTTCATTTAGTAACTTAAGGTCCATTTAGAGTCAAACAGACCATAAAGCAGGGGATGCTTTAGGGCGGGGCTACACGGTGATTGACAGGTCGCTACCAGAGATGTATACGGCGTCTCTACCACATCGGCACTTCTCTGCAGTCCATGTATGGTCACTTCTGTTCACTGTTGCAAAAAACTAAGATGGCGATGATCAAAATGGCGAACTTGAGGCTTTAAAACAGCAGTCCACAAACCAATGGGTGACGTCACGATGACTATATCCACTTCTTATATACAGTCTTTGTGTGGAACCAACCCAGCTGCCAGAACATTTTTTGCCAGTGTACTTTTCTGCAAACCAGGGTTCAACAATAAGGATTGCCCGCTAGCCGAGGAAGTAAAATGTCACGTCGGGCTAGTAAATCAAAAAGATTTAAACACAGGTTTTTCCAAAGCTGATGATGGAAGTAGCTAAGGAGTGAGCCATCTCGCCTCTTTCTCATCTCTGTTGGGAGTTGCACATGTTTAGTACAAATCAGGCACTGGCAAAAAATGGCGGCGAGTGAAGGCAAAGTTTATGAGCATTTCAATTATCCTGGAAACAGGAGTTTGGTTGGTTGACGTTACAGGATGTGAGTGCAACTTCAAACATGTATTGACGCACACGTTTGAGAGCGAGGCGGATCTTTGACACAATACGTCTTTGTTCTGTTTCATTCACTGAAACATGACAATTAACTTCAGTCTTTGTTGTTATTTGAAAACTATTTATTAATAAAAAAAATTGTGAAGGGGCAAGTAAAACTGGACTTTGAGCAAGTAGAGCAAGAGGAAAGAATCCTTTAATGTCGAACCCTCTGAAACATGTGAATACATTGAATGTCAATGTCATATCAGCTTTATATCACGCTTGTGGTAACATACAATACCATGTGGTTAAGTTTGGTGTTAAATGATTATTGAAGGCTTGTAAGAACACGGCAGCACCGACAAAACACAAACAACACGGTGAGCTGATGTCAATTTAAAGTCATTATAAAGTCTTTGCATACCCATTTTTAGCCATCAATAAAAAAAAAAGTTCTCCCCACAGTAGATGTGTCAGATGGTGGAGAGAAACTTTTATTCAGCATGCAGACAAATTGCATTGATGCATTTAGTGAAGTTGCAGCTTAATTTAACTGCACAGTTGTGTCCCACAAGAACACAAGAGAGAGCGCAGATTGAGAAAAGGCCTCATACACCGCAAAATATCTCTGTTATCAAGTTTTTATGTTGGGCTGAAATTAAGTCCTTTCTGAGTCTTTAACATGAAAAAAATTGGCTGTTGAAGAAAGTATATTTCCACCTGTTTCTAGAAATAAAACTCTATATTTTAAAACGGGAAAGAACAAGTAAGCTGCACCAGAGTAAAAAAAGTGTTTTACTGTAAAATGACTTTAAGAAAACTCCAAAAATGTATTTGACTGTATAAAAATTATTTTGTTTAATCATGTTTTTATATATTACTTAATTTGCGTACTAACAAGTCCTCAGAATTAAAACTCTGTAAGCATACTATAGAGTGTTATGTAGAGCGAGAGGACGTCCTGTCCCATGCATGTTGTGCTGGCTTTGACCTTGTGCAACATGCGTGTGTATGAACAACTCTGTTAATGTAACTTCAACAGTGCCGAGAACAACATCTACAGCTCAGGATTGTTTTTCTGACTGTGTTGATAGAAATTCTTCTTCTTGAGACAATGATTTACTCTTCGTGTTCTGCCAGTGTCTTGTTTTTTCGCGGCCTCCTCTGAGGAAATATTACCCCGCGGGTATGCACAGCCACACTTTTACTGCGTGTCTCAAACTGCACATTTCTTATCTAACTTATTTTTGAACAGGTTATTTGTTCCTCCATGAAGATGTCACTGTATTGTACCTTATCACTTATCTTCCTTTGTATTTTTCCAGGTTATTATGATTTTGTTTTCCAACTTTGTTTTGTTACATGTGAGGCACATTTATGGTATTTTTTAATGAAAATGTTACATGCATTAAAGACAATGACACTTTGAGGATATCTTAAACTTAAACTTAACTTAAACTTCCATGACTTTGTGATATGAAAACACTCAGGTCAAAGGTCAAAACTACAACAGCGCTGTCATTTAAACATTCAATAATTTAACTGATAACAAAGAAGGATCAAAGTTTTATTGTCTCTATTTTCAGAAAAATAATGTACAGGAGTTTAGTTTTGTCCATCTTATCTTTATCTGTTTAATTGTGAATCAGTCCCGGCTCTTAACAACCTTCGGAGTCAGCTCTCTGTCCAGGTGATCGACCTATTCTGTAATCGCCTCAATCAAAATCTTTTTCGTCTCCTCTGCCAAATTAATCCTAAAACATCCAGACTGATGTGTGTCCGGCAGGCAGACGGCCAGAGACCGACTGACAATGGAGAGATCATGGTTCTGCTTCACACTGCAAACCTTTAAGCTCACTTTCAAATTGCTGCAAATATCTGAGATGTTAGTTTCGGAATGCTGAAATGACATTTCCGGTTTTGCATCTTTCTCAAAAGATTTGGATCAATTAAAAAATACTATTCCCTGACCTGTGTCCTCCCAGTTTAATCTCACAGGAAATGTTGACATGTAAGTGAGTATGAAAAGAAAAAGGTATTTTCTTCCAAACTTGATAACTTTAGAATCTGCCGATAGCTAGAAGATCAGACTAAAAAACCTCATAATCCTGACTAGTCAGTCTTTAGCTTTGTGGTGGTGACAGGATGTCACCGTGGTGTAGTTTGTAGTTTGTTTACAGCACATTGTTAGCGTCTTACCTCTGGTGAAGTCAGGAAATGCAATCTATTGGTTTTGTGCACAACTTTCGGTTCGGTTCTGGCATCAAAACCACTTAGTTAGGTTTCGTAAACATCTTGCAGTAAAGGTCATGGAAAACGCTCCGTCGCCTCGGCCTCGTCTCTGAATCGACCGCATGCTTTATCGGTCTTGTCTCGGTCTCAAACAAAGAGGACTCAGTTTCTTTATTATTACCACAAACGTACGCACACTGTTGGTTATTTATTATTGTCTAGTTTATTTATTATTTTATTTTGACTCAATCGCACCTGCACAATCCTGCTGCCTTAAATACTCACTAGAGCACGACATGGGGATTAATCCGCTGCTGAAAGTAGTCCCCAACAAATGCACTACTTCCTCCTGTTTGAGTTACGTTTGATAAAAACTACAGTGACCAGCTGTTTTAGGAAATTATAAATTTAACTCACACTTACAATTTAAAGGTTTACGGGCTTGGGATCCAATGGGCTTGAAGTGCAATAGACAGAGTAGAGAAATCATAAAGTATTAAAAGATGGACTGACGTTTTGTTGGTTTTGGTCTTGTTCAAGGTATTTGTGTATAGTCTTGTACTTAACTGGAAATATCCTTTAGTGGAGTTTAGAAATTACATTAGCTAAAACATATCCATACATGCAGATTTCTTGTTGCACTGATAATAAAATGTCCGAAATGCGTCATATGGAAAAGGAAAAAGTTATCAGCAGTGTGAAGCAAGACAAAGAGATTATGAGCATGAAGGGAAGTTGTGCAATGAAAGGTGGATGGGCAGTAGCATCAAAGTTAAGGGCTTATCAGCTGTGTGTGTGTGTGTGGGCGTGTGTGTGTGTTCTTGCGTAGTGGACTATAGCTGCAAGAGGTGACACAGTGACATCACGGAGGGTTCGGTCGGACACTCACCCGTCGTTTAACGTCAGCAGTGAAGCTGACCGGAGCACACACTTTACACTCCGCTATTTTACTTCTTACATTTATTAGTGCCCTCAAAAATTCCAACAGTAGAAAATAGCATGAAAAAATAGCATGCATGCTAATTGACAATAACTAGTGTCTCGATTTACTGCTCACTATTTAGAGCTCAAACTATTGAACGGTTTGTAATCGTGGAAAGTGAGCGAGTATATAGATTAGAGACTTCTCCAGCAATAAAAATCTGTCCACATTGAAAATAATCTTTTTTTTTAAATCTGTAGATTCGCTACGATCCTGAAAATCTGTTTAGCTTTGTTGGGTTGTAATCAAGTTTTTAAATCTTATGTTCGAGATATTTCAGCGTGGACCAAAATGGTGCACCGACTCAAGGAGACAAAGGACCCCCCACCCCCCCAAGACATGTTGTACAGAACATGCATCGTGTCTTTGAACGCACCACCAAAGTGAGTTTTGTGAAACTATAAAGTAGCTAAATAGAAACATATTTAAGACCACAGGTATAGTCAGTTAGCTATAGGAAGATGAGGACTAAGGAAAACGGAATGAAGCAAATGATCTTTGGATCCGTTTCAGTGATCAACCGACATTTTTGTATCACCTCATTCATCATCTTATAACCTTATATCCTCAATTTTATAACACAGCAGTAGCTTCAATATGCAAACTCCTTGTTTTGACAACTGAGCCATTAAAACAACCTGAAGCCAGCGGTCAGACCGCCAAATGTGTGGCAAGTTAGAAAGACGATAGTAGAGAGAGAAAGAGAGAGACATATATTTAGTAGAGAGAGAGACATATATTTAGAGAGAGAGACAAATAGATAGTAGAGAGAGACATGTATTTAGAGAGAGAGACAAGTAGGTAGTAGAGAGACAGGTAGATAGTAGAAGTAGAGAGAGAGAGACAGGTAGGTAGTAGAAGTAGAGAGAGAGAGACAGGTAGATAGTAGAAGTAGATAGAGAGAGACAGGTAGGTAGTAGAGAGACA